AGGGTGTAGAGCTGGTCCATTGCTCCATGACCAGGACCAAAACCACACTGCTCTTCCTGAATTTGAGATTCGACTATCCGACAGACCCTCCTCTCCAGGACCCCTGAATAGACCTTACCAGGGAGGCTCAGAAGTGTGATCCCCCTATTGGAACACACTCTGCGGTCCCCCTTTTTCAATAGGGGGACCACCACCCCGGTCTGCCAATCCAGGGGAAATGCCCCCGATGTCCACATGATATTGTAGAGTCACGTCAACCAACACAACAACATCCAGAGCCTTAAGGAACTCCTGGTGAATCTCATCCACCCCCAGTGCCCTGCCACCAAAGAGCTTTTCAACCACCTCAGTGACCTCAGCACCAGAGTCTGAAGAGTCCGACCCAGGGTCCTCAGGCTCTGCTTCCTCATGGGAAGACGTGTCGATGGGATTGAGGAGGTCTTTGAAGTATTGTGCCCACTGACCCTCAACGTCCTGAAATSAGGTCAGCAGAGCACCATCCCCACCATAAACAGTGTTGRTGGTGAACCACTTTCCTCCCCGGAGAACCAGCTGAGGTGGTTCATCTGGTAAGGATGACTCCTGGATGCCTCCTTAGGGAGGAGTTCTGGTTCTGGCCTACTAAACTTTGCTAATGACCAAAATAAACGTTTTATTTTTCTCAAACTGAGGTTTTAAAATGTTCTCTTTAGGTTTTTTTAAACAAGCAGAAAGAATAAGGGTCAAACCACCACAAAGCATGATGCTGTGTCCCGAGTAAAGGGTGTCCCACAGAACCATCGGCTCAGAAATGGACAGAAACTGAAGGATCTTTGTTTTCACCGGGATTAGARTACTGTTAAACTCTAATCATTTCAACATATTTTAAACACATAAACAGGAATAATGGTACCTTCTCACCTTCACAAACAGCTCCAGCATCCTGACTGTGAGCACAGCCTTGATTTCCAAAYCCACTGCTGGGACAGGCAGTCAGGTTGTTCTCACTTCCTGAACAGCCCACATTATTCAGCCACACTGATCCAGCTCCTTCACCAAACAAGGCTTGGGTCGGGGCATCAAAGGCCGGGCCACAGCCCACCTCCTTACAGACCACTTTAGCATCATTAATGTTCCAGTTATCATCACAGACGGTCCCCCAGGTCCCAGCGTAGTAGACCTCAACAGTTCCAGAGCAGTTAGTGGGACCAGAGAGTCGGATCTGGAAAGCTAGRATATAAAACAACAATAAGTTTCAGAATTTAAATTCTTAAAGACAGACTGAACACAGGAACAAGACAGAAGACATTAAACATCAAAGTCTGAGTGAGGTCCATGTCTCCTTACGTTCACAAACAGCTCCGGCCTCCTGACTGTGACCACAGACTTGACTTCCAAACCCACTGCTGGAACAATCAGTCAGACTCTTCTCACTGCCTGAGCAGGTAAAATTATTCAACCACATCTGTCCAGTTCCTTCACCAAACAGAGACTGGGTCGGGGCACCGAAGGCCGGAGGACATCCCACCTCTCTACAGATCACTTTAGCATCATTCATGTCCCAGCTGCCATCACACACTGCTCCCCAGATCCCACCGTAGTAGACCTCAACTCTTCCAGAGCAGTTGGTGGGACCAGAGAGTCGGACCTGAACAGCTGGAACATGAGGCAGAAAATAAAAATGAGATGAATGGCTGAGTGGCTCTGGTTCTGGAGCTGTCTCTCTGTACATCACTGATGGAATTAATATTAAATATTTAGTTCTGTTAATTTGACCCGGCAGACAGAGCAGGACCTCTGGCTCACTGAAGGGGGCGTGCACGAGTCCACAGACTTCTACATATTCAACTCTGAATCTTCTTCTATGAAACTGTTCGATATTTTGTGGTTTAATAACTGCATTTTAGACACACACACATTTATTTTTATGCTTTTGGATCATTTAATTTAAACAGTAAGAAAATCAACGTCTTTATTTAACATGTTCCTCGCTCCAATAATGAAAATGTTTGTTAATCCCAATTCAGGGGCCCGGTCTAGGTGGGCCGGGTCCTTGGTTGACCGCARATACCGGAAAAATGCCTCTGTAAATTTGGACGGTCTAGCCTAGTGTCCTTACCCCGGCGTAYGTCCTGTCRCCTAGCAATCGTGACGATGCTAAACAAAAGCAAAACTACATTGAAATGATCAAAAATATCAATATATTATTATAAATATCATAAAACAACAACATTATCAGACAATATTTGAAGAACTAATGGACCAGCTGTAGGTTCATGTTTATTTCTCTAAACCAGCTCATTTGATTTCTGACCAAAATTGTATTATAACATGTTTACAAATGATAAAACTATTAACAATACAACCGCTTAAAACTTTTCATTTTTATACCAACAGATTTTTATTTAAACTGTTCTCCTTTGTCTCGCTTCGTCCACCATTACGAGCAAAAAGAAAAACTCCAGTCAACCCCCAATGCATTATGGGATATGTTGGTTTGAGAAGGATCCATCGGACCGCTCTTCAAATCGAGGAAAAAGAAGGACGTGTTTGTCAACTGCATTGGAGGAGCCTTTGAGTTTGGACATCCTCCGGCGCAGCACTGTGACGTAAGCGGCCGACAAATTTGGACACAGCTAACACTTTACATTTCAGGCATTTCAATGCTGACGTAAGAGGGACCACCCCCAGGGGGTGTGACCAGAATTTTTATAAATATCGAGCCCATTCTCATGCCTCCCATGTCAACATATTGACGCTTGACCAAGTGTCAATATGTTGACGTGCGGGGGGTACCTCGTGCGTCCGTCCTGTACGAGATGAGGCAGAGGAGGACGAGTCCCTGGACACATACCTAAAGTTAACCAATAACCCTGATCCCTCATGTTAACCACAGACCCTAAAGTTATCTGTTATTCCTGTGATGCAACCCGGAAAATCCACGGGTGGCAAGGACGGACGTGCCCAAGCGTCAATATGTTACGAGTCCGACATGAGAATGTGTTAAAATATCATGATCGGCAGCCATTTTGCTTTGACTTCCAAAKGTACAGACAGGCTCGGAGTGAAATGGAGTCTTTAGATCTGAAAATAAACATTTAAATGACAACCTATGTGCATTACTTCAACTTCCAGACTGAACGTTTCTTTACAGAACATTAATAAAAAGTCAACTTTTCTACAATTTGTTTATTTTTTGGTGTTTCTCTGATGATTAAAACACAAAAAATTATATCTAATCTTCAAAAAAGACTATTTGAATTGTTTCTTAAAATGTTTACAGGAAAGAAAATAACTTGTTCTTGTTTACTTAAACAGAAAGCTACATAACTTTCTAACCTGGATTTATCTTTTATAGAGAAAATCCGTTAAATCTCTGCTGACCTTCACAAACAGCTCCAGCATCCTGACTGTGAGGACAGCTCTGAAGTCCAAACCCACTGCTGGGACAGGCAGACAGACTGCTCTCACTCCCTGAACAGCCCACATTATTCAACCACACTGATCCGGTTCCTTCACCGAGGAGGGCCTGACCCGGGGCTCCGACGGCCGGGTCACAGCCCRCCTGCTTACAGACCACCTTAGCATCATTCATGTCCCAGCTGCTGTCACAGATGGTCCCCCAGGTTCCAGCGTAGTAGACCTCGACTCTTCCAGAACAGCTGGAGGGTCCAGAGAGTCGGACCTGAACAGCTGGAGTTTGAGACAGAAAACATTTCACTTGTTAGGAACACCTGGAGCTCAACKTGGTTTGAATTATTGGGGAAAGGGAAAACTAAATCCTCCTAATCGAGACGAACACTCTCCCAGAAACAGGAAAAAGCTGCAGGTCAGGGCAGTTAATAAATATACATCCTAATATTTCAGATTTAAACAATAAATTAATCTTAGATTAAGATTTGAGACCTTCCTAAATGAGACTGTACCAAATCTAAACACAACTTTACTGAGAAGAAAGTCTTTAAAAACCCAGCAACAAGCTGAGCAGATGCAAAATAACCAGTGGAATAACCTTTAAAAGTTTCTGAATCAAAATGTCTGAACCTGTTCTTTAGTGAACCAGTGTTGAGAAGCTGCARCTTTTTTATTTTCAAACTTTTCTGTCCTGATATTACGACTAAACCTTCAGGGTGAAATATTGATGAGTTATAACATTTTATCTTAATTTTAAACGTAGAATAAAACATAAGATCCAAACTCCTAATCATTTGCATTTTGAAGTTTCTAAAATAAAACTCAAAAAACAGCCTCAGAAGTTAAACCACATTTATTCTGTAAGTTCACCTTCACAAACAGCTCCAGCATCCYGACTGTGAGCACAGCTCTGCAGTCCAGCTTCACTGCTGGAACAAGCAAACAGACTGCTTTCATTCCCTGAACAGCCCACATTATTCAACCAGATCGGTCCGGTTCCTTCACCAAACAGGGCCTGACCCGGGGCGCCTACTGCCGGGTCACAGCCCACCTCCTGACAGACCACTTTAGCATCGTTCATGTCCCAGTTATCATCACAGACCGTCCCCCAGCTCCCGTTATAGTAGATCTCAACTCGTCCAGAACACTTGGAGGGTCCAACAAGTCTGATTTGGGCACCGAGTAGATCAGACAAAAGGGTGAGCTGGGCATCTACTGTAAGAGACACAGAATAAAACGTGCTGTTCAGTSTTCAATCTAATATATTATCACTTTTGTCCAGAGACAAATGTCTGAATTTCTTAAAATCTGTTACAAAACTTGTACATTTCTGATGAGGCAGACACTTCATTAATCTAATTGAATTCTTTCACTAATGTGTCACATGGAATGTCATTCAGTTGTAGTCTTATYATTTAATGTAGAAAGTAAATTAAAGTTAGTAAACAGAACCTATTAATGACTCAAGACTGGTGTGCAATACTGCATATTCAAATAGATTGTTTGTCAGCAGGTGTGAGCCGTGCATGACCAACAATGCAAATATTTTGTTCACTGCGTCTCAGGAGAGAGTCTAATGCTGTAAAAAGAGAGATTTGCACAATCTTTATAACTTAATATAACATATATATGACTGCAACTAATCACGTAATACCTTGAAAAACAGCTTAAATGTGTGTTTATATCTGTATATATTCTTTAATATATTTAATTTATTTATTTAAAAGAGCTGTATAATCAGTAATTTTGCTTTGCACAGAAATTTGAATTTTATGAAACAAGATCAAAAATTAGATCAATTTTATTGGTTGTCCTGAAGCAGATAAAAATCATAAAAACAAATTATAAAACAAATGCATAAAAATAGGACAAGTAATAAAACAATGCATAAAATAAAACATAATAAATGTCACATTCTGTGTGGTAAAGTGAAATGGGCTCATCTTATAAATGAGTGTGTGAGTGATTTGCCTTTACAGAAAATTAAAGTTTCTTTGAAAGAATTGTATAAATATGCCTTGCATGTCTAAATATTTACCTGACAAATGTATTGGTTGTCAGATTATTTATGATTAAAAACAATCTATAAATAATCTAGTTGTACAGATGATCACTGATATGAAAAATGAATTTGTGTTAAATTCTTACTGGATGCAGCGAAGATGAACAGAAGAAGCTTCTCCATCCCTGCTTGTTCCTCAGTATGATCCCAGATTTTTAACTTTGAACAACAACAAGTAGGAAGTTGACATGATGTATTTGCATTTCAGGCAGGTGGTGTTTAGTTTGACAGGTGGACTCATAACAAAACAATTCAAACCATTTTTAAATCCCAAATKACTGATTTGACTGAAGAAGTTTTAGCGTTCACAGAGCATCGACCAACACCAGAAACCTGACAGACTTCGATCACTTTAACAGGATTATTACAGTTTTTACATTATTTACTGTAAACTACTTATCTGCTTGTTAGTTTGAACAAAAAGCAACAACATTTTCTCATCATTAAAAAAGTTAACTTTTCATCGACAAAATCCTAAATTGAATAAAAAAAATAAACTTTTAGTTTGGGTTTATTGTAAGGTTTTGTGATTTATAAAAAAATAAGCCAAACTGTTCTGATTATTAGTTGACTCATTTTGAGGCCTGATCTCTTCACTACACACTAATATTGTTTAATTTTTTTACAGCAGAGTCTATGGAAGTGTTGAACTGGCTGTTTGTACAGCGTCACTGCTTAAATCACTACAATTAGCTAAATGGTTTTATTCAAAATTTGGTATGGCTAAACTGAATWTTTAAATTGGATTTCTTCTCTTTCTGTGTTCTATCAGGTTGACAGGAGGAGGTCGATGTGAGCAAATACTAACGACGAACAGAGACTGAGATGGTGAGTAAAAAGGTAAGTGATTTTATTTACACAGGTGCAGGGATCTGGGGATGGGACCTGAAATAGAGTTTTAGCAAAGGTGAGTAATGGGCAGATTTTCCAGTAAGAGTCTTTAGCAGGTGAGTWGTTGAAGAGGTTGCTTACGGGCTGGAGAAGGAGATGAGACTTGGAGGAGTTGGTCCAAAAGGTGAGGTTCCACAGGTGAGTATTTACAGGTGTAGGTTTATTTACAGTGTTACGTGGGAGGCAGCGCATGAGATCCTGGTGAGTATGGCTYGGGTTCAGGGCAGGAGAMAAATGTGCTGGAGGTCGCTTCTGAAAACAGGCAGGTAAACAGATACACAGGTAAGATAATTTCTAAGTCATGATAACAGGTAGCAGGCTGCGCTCATACCCAAACAGAGGTGATGCTTYAGCGATGAGATGAACTCCAGCACTGCCTTAAAAAGCCTGGAGGTGATGAGCTCAACTCGGTGCAGGTGTGGGTGATTAGCACAGTGCCAAAAATGCGAGGCAGAGGGTGAAAACACCAAAGTGTCTCATGCTCCTGTGGTTAGGTTCTTCTTTACTTGAACATTTTCATTCTCTGACTAATTCTTTTGAACTCTAACTAAAATTAAAATTCACAAAATTCRCCCAGACTAAATTCTTCATTTATCATCAACACCAAAATGTCAAACCTTTATGGATTTCCTGTTTTAATTCATAGCTTTTGTTTTTTCAACCACAGTTGGACCATGAAAACAAAACGTAGTAGGTATACAGATAAATAAAAGCTTAAAAAAATCTTACCAAGAGTTGGAGATATATCCCGTTAATTAAGAGTAGAGATAAAAACTGCTGAGATTGGCAGTTTTTGGGACAAAACTTGACAAATCCAGGCATTCTGCAAGATTTGATATGTTTGATCAATGGACCATACCAAACAAGCTTAAAGCTAACATGTAAAAAGTCAATTTACCATTGCTAATGTCCATCCTTTGAATGACAAGATGGATTATTTAAAGTTACAATTACTGGAGGGTTGCAGTACTTTGCATTATTACTGCACAGTAAAGGTCCTGGTTTTTCCACTTTAGTTTGTAATTTGAATAAGAAATCAGAGAAACAGCCAATGAGAAGTTGAGTGGATGTGGACCATTAGTGGTGTAAAACTTGCAGCAGGTGACCCTTTGTTCATGTTGTTCACCTGTTGAAGCAGGAGAGTAAAAAAAACAGGGCAGAATGAAAAACAGCAGCTTTGTTAGAAGATGTTGACTGGGGTGTTTCAGTTTTATGCTTTAATCTGTTCACAGAACTGTCAGCACGGAGAAACAGGTAGAGTAAATCATGGCTGTTTCYATTTGTATTCTGAACTTTTTGTATGAGTAGCTAATTTTCAACATTTTTACAAGAGTGGTTCACATTATTTTTTATCAACCTTTAAAAAGTTTTAATGCATTAATAGAAAGTTTCACAGAAAGTGGGAACTTTTTTTGTGACTGGTCCCCATTTGGCACTTCTTTTCACTTGGTCTCAATTAGTCATAAATACAAGAATGTGTGTGTGCATTCGTGTAGGTGTGTGTGTGTGTGTTTAGCTGTATCATGACCCTCAAAAAAAAACAAAATCCTCACAAGAAATACATATTCGTGTGTGTGTGTGTGTGTGTGTGTGTGTGTGTGTGTGTGTGTGTGTGTGTGTGTGTGTGTGTGTGTGT